TCACTGCGCTTTAGATTCCAATCAAATGCAACAGCCCTTTGAATGAATTCCTTTGTGCTTGTTTCTTTTGTTTCACTGTAAATGTAGAGAATCCCTAACAATGCACCTTAAATATAAACAACAGCAGTGGTGTGAACTATTTTTATGTTATACTTAGCTTGCTTTAAAGTGTTAAGCAGGTGAGCACTGAGACATTTTGCTAAAATATACACTGTATGTGTATACCAATGCTCTCACCTAACCTTTGAATCTGTGAAGCAGACAGAATTCAAATGTATATGATGACGTAAACCTTTCATTTTTATGTTGTTGAGGAGTAACAACTTTTTCTTTAATCCATCCTCAGCGTTATGTTTTTCAACCTTAAGCTTCTCTGAAACGGCCACTGCTGCAAGACGCCTCCATGGAGCATGAACCCCGGAGCAATGACTGGCATCCCCGTAATAATCAATTCTCTAGCATGCTGTTCCAAGGCAGTACTTCATCTGAGCTGAGCTCTGCGACTTCATGGAAATGTACTGACACCATGAAATCCAATTAAAAATGCATTTGGACATTGATCACCTGATACTCCCAGATTGATTGATGCTCAAAAAGCAACCGTGTAGTGTTTTTGTGCAGCCAGGGTCCATTCACCTCGCCATACCATATAAATGTATTGATCCGCTCACTCACTCTTGGATCCATACGAACCATTAAACATCCTTTCAGCATTTCTTCTTCCATTAATGTGACTCATAGCAGATTCCTCACAGCTAAAAATGGTCAACACAATGTTTAGCAGACCAATAAGCTTCCAGACACCACTGCAGATCTACAGCATAATGAAGCCAGGTGATAATGTCAAGTTAACTATCCATTTAAGAGCCCTCTTCATCAAACTAATCTTCTGGATGTCTGAACCTGATAAAGAAATAAAGAATTGAAATGCTCACAAACAACTTGCATAGTTCGAGGGAGAAATACTTAATCACAGATGGAGAGACATGTTTAATTCAAAAACGTATATAAGGTCAATTTGCACTTTTCAAATCAGTGGTATTCACACATTCTCATTAAAAACAACTGAAACCAAGGGAAAAGCGACGCACTATCTAATGCTGTTTATATGGTAAAAGGAATGCGATAGAATAGATTGAATGGCAGTGAAAAAGGCGTATTTGTATGCAAAATTGCCAAGACATCCCTGAGACGGCGCTGCGAGCAGACAGACGTAATCGAATGTAATCGGGTAGCAGATCAGTTCTTCTCCTGTATGCGCGGCATGTGGCGTGTTGCGAGGGTCAGAGGGGCGGCTGAATGGGGGGGCTAAATCTCTGAGCATCGGTCCACATGAATTACCTGGCCTGTGTCCACATTAGCACGGATCAACTCCTGTGGGTATCATCTCATCAGGAAACAGCAGCTGCAACGCATTCGGCCAAATAACCTCACTTCCATATCCGGTGAAACCCGCGCCCTTTTTCACCCTTCCTCTCTTTAGGCCGCCTCTATCAATGTGTCCCTTGCTTTCCTACTCTGAAAGACTGCTCTGGTTTCAACCTTTCCAGCTTGTTCTCCTCAAATCTCTCTATTAAGCCCACCTCTTCCCTGCAGTAATGTTCTTCACACTTTGCATACTTTCCCTCCATTTTTGACATCACCTCCTCCATCATTCACTCTCCTTTCTTCAGTTCAATTCCCTATGCTGCTAAACTAAATATCTACAAAACGTTCCCTGAAGGGTGTCAGGGTTCTCCTCTGTACCAATGGGAACTACCTCCGACTCTTTCTGGGTCTGCGGTCACCCACACAGAGCGACCTGGCAGTTAATGAGCGTGTTGAGTAAGACGGCACCTTGACTCAAGACTATTCTGTAGCTTGAACTCTCAGTGAGTCTATTTGTCAAGGTGATCATTTATTTTGTAGCACCACATAATGGTGTGACGATGATTGTGTTTATTTTTTCTTCATGTGGTCTAGGAGCACGACAGACACAATATCACGTCTAAATCAGGGTCATAATGTATGTCACCGCGGATAATTTCATGCCTAACAGATAAATAAATTGCGATTTCTCCCACGTCAGTGCAAAGGCTCTTTACTCTGGTGTCTTGCTGGATGTAAGCATCTGTGGACACCCTGTGTGACTTATGGAAGATGTGGGAGAGTAAATGAGAGCTGCACTGATGTTTTGATCATGCTGAAATGTGGTTCCCAATTATGGACATGGCCTGTCTAACCAGCGAGGCCAAACACCTGATGGGAGGAGGTGACGGGAGCATGGGCCTGCTGGTGGGCAGGCGAGGCTACCGCAGTGCACCGCTGCTCCCCGTGCTCTCAAGATGTTCCACATCTCCCCCCTCTAATTGGCAGATGGCCTCAGATGCGAGATGATTCAATGGCCTGCGTGTGTGTTTTTTCCTGTCTCAGTCAGCCATTAGCAGGGACATCTGTAACGAGTTGGCCAGGCGCACTGCTGAGAGTGGAAGCTGAGAGCAACACTCTAATGGGGGGTACTGCGATCGTGACGGATTTGGCGGTAATCAAAGCACTCCGAGCTATTTCTTTGGGTTATGCTAATCGAGACATCTTGCTTCACATTGGCCAAGGCAAAGCTTTTAAAACATCGTCTGATGTTGTTTACCAGGAAAAGCTTCAAAGAATCAAACAGCAAGGTACTGCTGTGTATCAACTGTGTGACAATCCCCTATTGACTTTCAATACACCAGAGCAAGACATTTCTCGCTGCGCATTATCATAAAAAGCCATTTCCATGGCTTTGGCACAAACAGCTTGGCTTCCATGATCCCATTTCTTGCAACTGTGCCATAACCATCTGTGCTGAATGCTGCGCTCAAGGGTAAAACATTAGGGGCCCAACCAGAGTGTGGCCCTTAAGGCCTTTGGTGTCTGGCTCTCTGTCGCTGCCTTAATTTCTTACAGTCCCTCCAGAATTTGTCTCCATAACCCAGAGCTGGATGAGGGAGCTGCATTGTTGCAGAAGTGAGGCCTTCAGCTGGTTCTCTATGTCGACAGTGTGGTGGAAAAGTGGCCCCGAGCATAAGGCCTTTTAAATCTTGAAGGCCATCAGTATTCTTGCCATAGCCTCTGAGGATGTGTCTGCTACCTGCAAACTGGGTCAATTGTTGCATTATTTTAGAGATTTGTATCCCACTGTGGAGAAAGGAAAGGTTTTGCACATACAGGCATGTAGACCCACACCTGCACTTCCCGACCTCCCTGCCTCTCTTTCGCACACTGTACTCACAATGCACACTATTCATTAATATGAAACCCTATTCTTCACATGAATGTCAATTTAAACCCACAAAATGTGCTAACATTGTAATAAATGACTACAGTAAGCAACCGTTTCTACACTGTGAAAATTATTTTAGACTGAGCAGACAGCGAAAGACTAATTCAAATTGATATATAGGACTAATTCAGATTTTGACACTCAAAAAAACATAAAAACCTGTGCACTTTAACAGAGCATAAATGCATCAGTTAATAAACCGCTTCTCTATTCATGTCATACTTATGGTATAAGCCGCAGTCATAAATCTAAAAAAATTCTGAATGTGACTCTGCTTGTCGTACATTAACATTAATGAGGAAGTGACTGAGCTGCAGCAGCACCTTGAATATTTCCATCAGGTTTGATAGCGGTTTTTCCTCACTGTTTGACTTGAGGAAACCTTCAAATATTTCAATTACCCCACATACATTTAAATGGCTTTCATACAATTTCTTATTTAAAATAATCTACTATATATATATATACATACTCTCAACTGAGAGCCTGGGAGGTGAATAAGGGACCAGGAGCAGATGGGGGGGCGGTAATGAGATGCAGAAAAAAGGGAATTGAGCATGACAGGCCGGCTGGTGAGACACAGCAGAAAAATAAGAGAGGGAAGACAAAATAACCAAGTATGAGATACAGAGAGGCGATAGGAGAGACCTGTGTCTGAGGTGCATACAAATGGACAGGGGAGGAACACAGATAGAGGAGGGGGGGGGGGGGGGGGATGGGGGTGCAAAGAGGGAGGTTGTGTGAGGAAAGGAGATAAAAGAATGTGAGAAAGATGGATTCACTGTTGGCTAATGAGAAGACAAAGGCAGTAGAATCCACATCGATCTCTGCCCCACAGCGAGTTGGCTTTATAGCTCACAGGTAGAGACAGGAGAGCAAGGGGAAGCTTACCTGAGGTAAGCAACCTTACTGTTGGAGGAGGGGTGTGTGTGTGTGTGTGTGTGTGTGTGTGTGTGTGTGTGTGTGTGTGTGTGTGTGTGTGTGTGTGTGTGTGTGTGTGTGTGTGTGTGTGTGTGTGTGTGTGTGTGTGTGTGTGTGTGTCAAGCAAGTGTACATACCCAAGCAAATGTATGGAAGTTAGAGCTGGGTATGCAGGATGCAAAAAGGTACCTTTTACCAACCAAATTCTGGCTATATAATTGCATTATTCAGCAGCCAAAGGAAAACAATGGTAATATTTTGATTGGCCATTAGATTTCACATACAAGGGGCAAAATTATGTGAGGCAGGTAAGGTGACACTTACACAACACAAATTGAAAGCAGGTGCACTGAAAAGATGACTCCCTAAATGAGTCATTAGTGTGAAGCAGAAGAGGGACTAGATGTAAGATGGCAATGAAATATTCATACTGTAAACCCTCTATAGCAGGGCGCACAGAAAGAAGATTGTAGATGCATCAATCTTATTTAATAAATGACCCGTAAAACAGAAGTCTGAGGCTCGACATGATTTTAGATATAAAAAGAAGCATTGATGAAAGAGTTATTGGTTATCAGAGTGTCTGTCTTGTGTTAAACCTAGGGGAATAATTGGCTTAGTGTTGGTGTCTGAGTGGTTGAAGGTCTTAATGCTGGACACAAAAGAAAGGCTGCAGAGGATGACCACTCTCTTTGTAAACAAGTTATCATGTGCGCAACAACAAAGGGCAATACAAGTTAATCTTCTGTTTAACACAATGCTGCAGAAAGCCACTTACAGGAGGTTTGAGCTGTTCCAGTACACCGCATGCCGGTCGTTGGCTCTCGACAGGTGCAAGTTAGTAAGCACCAGCGTGAAGAGGCTGAGAGAAAACGTTGCGAAAGCCATAATCCCTCCGGTGCTCGTCCAGCCCTGGTTCCCCTCTTCCTTCTGTCCCAGGCGGCGTGTCGTTCACAACATCCCGGCGGTCAGAAAACGCCTTTTCAAGTTCCCGGTTACCTTCACAACGGGGTGAATCAGGGTGACTTCAACTTGAATCCCATTGCGACGAGACCCATTTGCACATATTCACTTGGAGTTGTCTCTCTGCGCACTTTCAAGTCACTCCTTGTTAGGTCGGGCAGCTCTGCTTTCATTAGAGGAGAACACAGGCATGCTACAGATAAGGCAATTGTGACAGCTGAGAGATGAGGTCGGTGTTTACTGCGCTTTGCACAGCTTTAAAGCCGCTGGAATCTCCGGAGAAAGCTTTGTGTGCTTACGCTCCTCTCACCAGCAGCAGCAGCCACACGCTGCGCACACACCGCAACACACACCGCCACAGACCCACTCCAAGCCCGCTGCTGCCCCGCCCTCTGACGGTCGCGAGCTGCCGCTGTCCTGCCCCCTCAAAACATGCACCGTGTGTGTTTATCTGCGTATCCAGAGTAGAAATAATCCGGAAAATATGTTTTTGACTGCATGGACACTTCTTAAAGGTTCCATGTGTTTAATGTAAGGGTTTAGGTTCAATTTATTCATTAATACAAGGTTTGTATTGTTTGTATAGGATACGATTTTGCAATAAAAGGTGAGTTTTACACTAACATTTACAACCAGATCAAATACTGCACATGTAAATCAACTGGTTTGATAGAGCTTTTTTCAGTCTATGCATTCGCTCACATTGAACTTTACAACACAAATCAACATTCACACACACACATTCCACTATAGCTGCCATCAAGACCAATTTCAGGTTCAGTGTCTTGCCAAAGGACACTTCAATATGTAGACTGAAGGGGCCTCGGATCAAACCATGCACTGACCTTCAGATTCTGCTAAGAATCACAACCCCCCCCCCCCCATGTAACATCTAATAAAGTATTTTTTATCTAAAAGTAGGCTATAGGTACGCTCAGTGGCGCAGCAAGACACTATGGGGGCCCCAGGCAGAAGATACACCCAACACATTAAGCACAACCCCCCCCCCCCAAATGTCTGCCAAAAACCTAGAGAAAAGGACTGAAAGGATTATGTATAAATCTATGACAATAAAAAGGGGAAAAACAGAGTGGTAATGGTGCTGTCTTATTCTAAGAACCGATAATGTTAAGGCTGGGTCAAAAGTTCAGGACCTACAATGGCAGAGGCCAGATGGATTCAGTCTTTTAACAAAGTTTAATAAAGGAAAAAAGGAGCAACTAAAAAACAATCCACAAAATGAAGGTGGTCAAATCACAGCAACAGGACTTTAAAATATTCTCCAATGAACTTGCTCAGCCTTTTACTGTCAAGGACTTGCTTTTACATATGGTTACACATTCACACACAAAACATGTACATTTTCAGCAGCTATTATCTGGGCAAAGCCCTATGAGGCTATACAAAAGTAAGTGTGTTTTTGTGTGGTATATTTTGTCTGCTGGCTCTTTTTTTAAGGAGCATTTATTATTGATGTTGCTGGAGAGAAACATTTTGAAAAATGTGGTTATTTCAGATTCACTATTCAGCATAAATTAAGGGTTAAAGCAAGCGCTAGAATTCAGATTAATATAAGACAATTAATAGTCAGCGGAAGGCCATCACAAGCATGGTAATAACACACGTGTGGGAGTAATTATGTGTGTGTGCGTGTGTGTGTTTCACAGGGAAATAGAGACTGAGTGCATGAACATTTGGAGACTTTAATTAACCTGTTTAATTTCGCCTGTGGTGGTTTAACCACTCTATCTAGCCTAACGTCAGCCTGCAGTATTAATGGCTCAGTTAATTCCAAATATTAAGCATTAGCCTCGGTTTGATTAACTCTGCCAATTTCATATCTCATAATAGTGTCCCTTTTTGAGGGGATATCAGGGATATTCACACCCATAAACGTGTTCGTAGACGCTGTTGGTGAAACTTTAGCTGAGGGATCCGAACATTAATCTGCCTGACCTCCAATGATGAATGAATGTTCATTACACTTCTCAGCTGAGTCCCTGAAGGTCATATTCAGACTTTGAGTGAGGTATTCAAAGTCAGTTGTAGATCTGCTGCCTACTTTCTCCTCTCTTCTCTCATTCATACACACAGTCTGTCTATTTTGCTCTCGTTTCCTCTTACTCACTCGCTGCCTCTCTGTTGTTTTTGTCAGTGATGACGCCTCTCTTGAGTGCCCGCCAGGCATGTTGCCGTGGCGACTGGAGTAAAGGGGCGGATGAAAGAGCAGGTACCATCACTTTTTTTTTCTCCAACCAACTCTCCCCCTCTCTGTCCCACCACCTCTCTGTGCAGCTCCGGTGGCTCACTCACCTCCATCCACTCAAACATTTGTCATCTATTTGTCGCCTCGCACTCAGAGCGGAAAGGTGCTGCATATAAGAAGCAGATTCTTCAATTTCTTCATAAACTGATGATCTCTCTTTTCCTGTTGCATTCACCATCAACACAGTGCCAATGAAAGTGAGATGAAAATCTGGAGAGTGACATTTAATATGTTTCCTGGACCCGTCTCAAGCAGCAGAGGCACAGATGCATATTTATGAGCTGCTTTGTGTGTACAAGTGTGTATCCTGAATAGAGGCTTCCCAGTGTCATAAGTTACTGAGCGCAGTTGTTCTTTCGACTTTGTACAATGTGATGCACTGTTTATGTATGCTTATTATACTTCTGCAGCAGCACGGCTTGTATTTTGCAGTAGGCGTCAGTGCACAATACAGTACAGGTAACCATGGCTTGTTACCTTGACTCTGACTCTCTGATTAATTCATGAACAGCAGCTACTGTATAGCATTATTGATTATTTAGATAATTTGTTATCATCAATCAGCCTCAACACTTTCATATATTCGTGTCGACTTCATATTGATTTCCTAACTGGCTTTACTCCTGGCGTGAGCAATATTCCAGGGGAAAATGTGCTGGTCTCTATCTCACTGGGATTTCTTTATTCTTCCCCCTGGCCCCTATCTGTGCAATCTCTAATTTCCTATACCCATCTGTTCCTCCTTTTCCTGATGTTTCATTTAAGTGTGATCTCATCTTTAATGTTAATGGAATAAAACAAGGTAGTCTTGACTGAGTTTAATGTCCGGTTAGGGTGTCAGTAAACAGCGATGTATTTGATTAATCAGGTGATCTACTGAAAAGTAAATGTGACAAAAATAAAAACAGCATTTATAACTTCAAGACACACACAAATAAACACCACTGTAAAGAGAAAGAGTGTATACAATGTATTTTTGAACTGTTATGACACCCTAACCAACTTCCCTAATCCTCCTTTCTCTACTTTTTCATTGGGTGTGAATCATTTTAGCATTTTGCAGTCCCTTTACTCCACTATGCCCATACAGGTGATTAAGTAGGGAATGAACAAAAAGCATAAGGGACAAAAAAGTTAGAAAGTGGATGAAAGAAAAGACAAAATAGATAGAGCCTGGGGGCACGGATAGATGGAGGATGGAGGAAGGAAGAAATTACAGCACAGGAATCAAGGGAGGGGTAGAGAAGGTTAAAGAAGACTGAAGTATAAACTGAGAAACTTTGAAGTGCAGGAAGGAAAGATGGAGGAGGAGGCACGGAGGCAGTGGCTAAATTGAAGGAAGGCCATCAGTGTTTTTGGTAATGCATGGTGCTGAGGAGAGTCCTGGCCTATGAGCTCCAGGTGGGTCTCCATCATTCTGCAGCCTCAAGTGTGATGCTTAATCCGCCTTGCTTCAGTAAGCACCCAGCTGTGCAAATGGCTAATGTGATTGTGAAGATATAAGCCCAGGATAATGGCATCTGCCAAGCAATCAAGAACAATGTTCCTCAGCATCGGGCTGTGATGGAAAGGGAGCGCTGGGAAATGGATGCTAGGATGAGGGCTGAGCCTTTGGGGAAGCGAGTGATGTGTTGGTAAACGGTCGTAAAGGACGGAAGGCGGCAAGAGCGAAGAGATAAACTGAGGACAATCTGTTTAGAGGAACAGTAAGGACTGGAATTAGAAGGAAATTGACAAATTCTCAGCAAAATAAATATGGTCATCATATGAAGGTTTGGAAAACAAGCCGATAATAAAAAACAATGCAGTGTGTGTGGCCTGCAAAGCCATATATAATAATAAAGTATGAAAAATTCACAGATTCTACTCATATACTGACAAATACAAGACCGCAATTGGCCAGTTGTTTGGAGGTTGAGAAAGAAATTGTCTCTTAAACTTCTTCATCACTTGTATCATCCTGTATCAACAGGGTACTATGATGGCAGATGTTCAATACAGCTATGTTTTGTCTCCAAAAAAAGTATTTTGATCAATTAAAGTGAATTGTGCGCTCAGTACTAGTGAAACTATACCCCTACAAGTATGAAGTATTTACTGTGTACTTTTCCAATAATCCTCTGTCAATGTCTCCCTCCTGAGAACAAGAATGCATGTTTCTCTGCTATTTTGAATAAGCGTTAAAAAACCTTTCTTCATGAGACTGATATTGTTGGACAGAGTATTTTAAGAGGATATGGTGGACATGATATCAGCAATACTTCCAGTCAGTACTCCGGCAGCAGCATTTTACACCTTGGAAAATCTTTAGAGTCTGGCCTGGATAGCTGGTCACAACTATCCTTCAGCACACTGACACACTCTGTCACTCTTGTTGGCCTCTTATGATGCTGCTGTCTTTTAATATATGATTATTTCTCAGCCGCTAGTTCGTTCCTCGCAGATTCTTCAGTCAGCCTCATCCTTCCATCAGTCCCAGTCAATGCCTCAGCCTCCAGCACACTTCCAGTGTCTGACTCCATATGATATTGTCCTGATGCTGTAAGGGTGATGCCCCATGATCACAAAATGACCCCTCTAGAGTCTGTGTGCCAAGGACCTCAAATGATGTATGTCATTAACGTTACATCACCCATTATAACAATTTGCTTTCCTTTTTTCTCTTCTCTTAACTGAATAACCCTGTCTTTAAGTATAATACAATGTAAAGTCCTTTTCCTGCACCATTTTAAGGCTTCAAAGCAGGCATTTTGACTGTATGTGTTTGGAGAAATGAGACAATAAATGGCCCAGAATTGCACTTCATAAACTCTGAATCTTGTGGTGCTTGAAGAAATACACACTGGCTAATATAAGCCGGCCAGGTTATATGCCTTTTTTGGAGACCTTTTTTGCTATATTTATTAAAATGTCACTAGTTATTTAAAGTTACCATGTCATGCTTTTCCGGTTATTACCCGTCCTCTTGTGTGTTATGAAGTTTGTTATGCATGTAAACGGTCTGCAAACCACAAACCCTCAAAGTACACCCTGTAGCGAGTAAAACTCTAACCG